CACACACACACACATGCGCACAGAAACACACACACACCATACTCTTCAACTCGTTCTAATACAATTTATGTGCACATAATAGCAAAAATCAAATACATTAGATAAATAGCAAACTAGATAGATAATGATAGATATTTTAAACAAGCAAATGCACACACACACACATAAATAATATTTATATATCACCACCATATGTGCATGAAACCTTTGCGATTTACTTGTCATAGGACCATCGCTCATCGCCTGCCAGGCGCGGCCAGAGCCCCGTGTCGGTGCTCCGCCCCGCGCCACGGCTGGTGGTGCCTCCGGCCAGTGGAACAGGCCCAGCGACGCCCTGGAGATTGGAAGTGGTTAGTAACCCAATGTAACCCATATTAATATATATATATATGAATTGTTTTTTGAATATTTTCACCAACGCACACACACACACACGCACGGAGAGAGAGAGGGAGAGAGAGAGAGAGAGAGATATATATATATATATATATACACACATGTATGTACACACACGCACGCACACACGCATATATATATATATACTGTATATATATATATATATGTACGTATTTTAAACAAATACACGTACCTTCTTTTTCACACATGCAGGCAGGCGCACACACACACACATCATTCACGACTGGGTTCTGTGAAGTTTTCAAAATTATGCTGACACACAAACTGCAATGCGCATGCAAGTGAGGGCCAGTGGCAACCGATGCCTGAAATCTCGAACCCAATATGGTGTGGTTTGGCTACCCTGGGCTCCAGGTGTCCGCTCCCCCGAGCGGAAGCTGATGACGCCACCGGTGCCCAAAGCCAATCTCCCCGGCCAAGTGAGTTCCACACCCCCGGCACCCAAGAGCCCCAAGAGCGTCCCGGGCACACCACAGAAGGGAGGATCCCCAGTGAAACGGCTGGGGAGCCTGGAGGGAACCTGGGTGAGGTGTGAGGAGTGAGCCAAGATTATTTGTTTGGCAATATCATATATCATATATCATATATCCCATCCAAGAAACACTAGTTGTTTGGCAACATGGCCATGGATCAATACCGATAAATGCCATTTTTAGGGGAATGAACATCCATTTACAAGCTATTTTGATGTTTACCAGGGGTACAAGGTTTTGACCCATCCCCGCATTGGTAAAAAGAAGTGATGATATTCTGCCAAGACCATCCAAAAGATATCCCGGAAGATTGAAAGTAGACCCGTGACGATGCTGTGGCGCCCCAGTCTTGTTGAGGATCAGCGCGCCGCCGTCACCAAAAGCATTGGCAAGGGCGGTTTCTGCCGTTCCAGCAGCGACTTGGCACCCTGGGAGAAATCGCCGGTCAATGGATGTAAATGGATGTAAGTGGATGTTCATCATGCCATGAATCATGCTTCTCATTTTCATGATCCCAAGCTACACATATTATAGGAATCATATGGAATCACAGGTTCTGATCCTATCATATCAATCCCCCATTTTTTGATCGGAGCCACACTGAGGCCACAGCTCGAGGCCCACGAAGTCCTGCAACGCGAGAGACGATGCGAATGGAGGAGTCGGTTGAAGCTGCTGAGTTCACCCTGGTTCATGGCTACATTGGCTACATCCCAATTCTGAATGATTATAATATATTATAATGATTGAGTATAATGATTGTAACGGCTTTGTAACGGCTTTGTAAACTATGGAAAACTCATGAAAGCTCTCCATCTTTACTGGCCAGTTCCCCCATTGCTACGACTTTCCTGAAGTGAACAAACTCTCTCCAAGGCAAGGTAAGGCAAGGGAATGACAATTTGGACCATCGGGTCTTGTGTGTTTTGCAATTCCTATCCCGCGCTGGAAGGAGCATAAGAACATTGCGCGAGACAAGAAGCTCCAAACCGCCAAAACAATGCCTCTGCGATCCAGCTTTGAAAGCGAGACATACGAGGCATTGCAGAAGCTTCACAGCCAGTAGCTCAATGATCTCCAGCTGGGAACACAAGCAGAATGACCAGCACTCTTCATAGATTGTTGCCTGGCCAAGGTGATGCCAATCTGATCAGGGAGGTCTTGGACGATAAGCACAAACTCCAGAAATATTCCAGGCCGTGCTTTGATGGGACCACTTGACAGTTCATTTGATTAGGCCCTGGTGCGACGTTGGAGTACTACAAAATATGTATATATACATAATAGCCAAATCAAATCGATCGATTTGAGGAACAGATTATGAAGACCCAGCTTGGAGGTTTCTGCAATGGTGGTGCAGGGCATTCTACCTTAAAGGAGTCTTTTTGAAGCTTGCTGATTTGTTCTCATGTACAACAGCGTTGTTGCACTCTATAGAGGTCTTGCTTCAGCAACGCAGATGTAAATGGAGACGGTGAACTCAGCTACTCGGCAGCTCGAAGCTTGAGGTTCACAGGAATGGGACAAGTTTTCCAAAGTGGTTCGAGTGGAACGCCTTGTCAGCTCTGACCCACAAGGGTAAATAGTGGTTTCATAGCGGTTTCCGTAGATGTATGTGTCGCCTGAATGTCGCATGAGTGATTAGGGCCAGTGCCACCAAAGAACGGCATGTCTTGACAGTGTTTCTTTGAGTCTGGTACTTTAGATTCTTGTACCGAAGGCCAGCGCACAATCCAGAAACGACAATTACGAACAAGTCTGCTAGCAGCTTACTAGTACATGTCGCATGAAATTACAAGGTTATTTCATGTTTGGGAAATCGCTGCATTGATATTTGCATAGAATTGCGTCACATACCCCTAAAACTTGAAAATCTCACCAAGAACACTGTGATCTTGAAGCACAAACATCATAACCAGGCTTTGAGGAGTTGCTGCAGTGCATGCAGAAGATGAACGCCGAGCTTGGCATTGGAAAGTTCACGGAGCGCCATGTAGAGCACTACCTGCAGCGTTTCGACACGGATCAGGACAAGCTCCTGAGCCAAGAGGAGTGGCCTGGCAGCATCCGGCCCGGTGGCAACGGGGCAGATGGGAGGGTTTGGAGAAACGGAGGTGCTGGGCCAGTGGTGCTGGCAAATCTTTGCAAAGTTTCGCACTTTTTTTTAAAAAGGGATGTTCCCCGGAGAGACCGACACCAACGCACCTGGCAGGTTCCAAGAGCTTTATCGGGTCCTGCTCATGGTGAAGCTTGAAGAGGCGGCTGCTTTTTCAAAATGGGAGTTTCTATTGATGGGGATTTGATGGGGTATCCTTGCGTATCACTACTACGGCAGGTGAACTGAATCAGTTGACTCTCTGGGATGGCTAGTTGCCAGGGAGAAATGGCCCAACTTAAGGGAGAAAAGGTCTGGCGGCGTGCCCGAGTGTAGGTTGGGCCATGCCAGGTGGAACCTGTGGACTTCTCTCGCAACATGTTCATCAACCGACGCAAGGCGGGTTCAGATGTTTATTACGTACCATTTGTTTTGTTAAGAATGGGGGGATACCTCAATTTATGGCAATTTTCATGGGGAGCATGATGATAGTCCATGGGTTTTTGGGACAATTACATCATTCTCAGGCAAACTCGAAGGTTCTGATGCTAGCTTGATGCTAGCTTGATGCTAGCTTTCGCTGGGATGCCTGTGGGAGATTCGTTGGCGGTTGACGGCTCAGGGAAAGCCAGAAGATGATTACCGAGTTCAGGGCATTGTTGGCGTGGGATCTTTTGGCGTGGTCAGAAAGGTACAGCACGGACACCCAGGACTTGACCCAAAGAAGGATTCTTTCCTTGCCAGGATTGGATTGGATTGCTGGAGGGTACACAGTGCATGACCATACAGTAGCTCCTGTGTGTTCCCTGCAACATGTCCCTGCCCAGGTGTCGAAGCACGGGAGCCACGCGAGTCATGAAAGTAGTGGACAAGCAGAAAGCACTCAGTGGAGGTGTCTTGGAAGCCAAGGATGACCCGACGACCCCCAGCTTGCTGTGGGGGAAAGGGATTGCTGCCTGTTCCAGGGGACCATAGATGCCATAGCCATGCTACCGGATCTGCAATGTAGTGCTTGTGATTCTTTTCGACTGGGATGTCAAGATCGCACCTGGCCCTGTGAGCTGGTGCCCTCCCAGGCTACCCGCTGAAACTGATTATGGAGGCAGGGAAGCTGGGAGCGGATGATGGTTTTGGTAAGACAATCCTTCTTGATGTGTGCTCGGCAATGCCGTTCCGTTGGAAAACGGTAGATTGCATTTTTCCCGGATTTTAGGGACCCCCTGAAGAACAATCAACTCACCTCCAACTTTCCAAAATTTGCGAACTCTTCTTTCTTTTGGGACAGACCATCTGGTCCCACATCTTTCGGCCGCCTCCGTAGGAAATCGACAAGCTTCGAACCTTGGACCATCCTGCGGTGCTACGTCTCTTTGAGTACTGCGCGGATGAAAGGAATTTGTACCTCATCACCGATATGCTTCCAGGCTCGGTTGTGCGCCTGGCGAAGTGCTCATCTATCCGATACCATCCTCAAAATGCGACCCCAGACTGTAAACCTTCAAGTGGATGGGATGGGGATAGCTTAGTCATGTATTTAATTTATATAATTTATATATGATATGTTTTTATTAAATGTCACCACATACCACCCAGTACTATGTACTAAGGGACATGCCAACCCCTAGTCTGAGCTGCATCCGGATCCGGCGCAGGAGGAGACCTGCTTGATGCAGTGGAGGGCTCGCACAATAAGAAGAAGTACTTGGAGGAGCTGCGCAACTGCGCTGGTGGTCAGGAAGTGATAGGTATCTGATAGGTACAGATGGTCACAAGTTGATACAAGTTGTATACGTTGAGTTGAATTCAACCAAGAGATCCAAGAGCCTACAAGACAAGAGCGCTCAAAGAAGCTGATAGTTAGAATGATATAGACATAGATAAATTCTAGACCAAGAGGCATGTGACAGCATGTGGTATGAAATCTGGTGAAAAATGGACACTCCAAAGAACGAAAGAAGTGTTGGATTGGATCATGAAGGTCCACACGCTCACTGGCAATCATCGGGCGTTCAGGAGCCTTGGGTGAGGGATGTCTTCCGGCAAGTCTCTGAAGGTCCCTGGCTCAGTATCCAGCAGAAAGGCTGATGAAACATGATGGAACATCAGTGCTTAGATGCTACAATTTTGGAACAATTTTGATCAGCTTTTCCAACCTGCTTTTGCGGCATCACTTTAGGATTACTTGTTTATATAAATGTCAGTAACACTTGTGCACAGAAGCAAGGCCGAAAACCAACTGACAACTTACGCCAGCAGCATGTGAAATTTGTATTCGCGTCACAGGAGTTGCTTACTGCCATGCAAAGGGAATCATGCACAAGGACCACGTTCATTTTTTCTGGGCCTGGGAATGTTGATTGCCGTCAATCATTGGACCTTGGATTGTGGCATATTAAGCCACACTGAGAGATCGCTTTGGCTTTACCTCCAACACCTCACCAGATTGCCTCTTCAAAAATGGACAATCTTTCTGATTTCAGTGGACCCACACCATTTCCATAAATTCGGCTTTTCAGGGTCAGGGTGGGGTCAGTTGGGCCAGGACCTGAAGTTGGAGAACATCATGTTGGCCTCGGTGGATCCTCCGGAGGCGGTGGTCATCGACGTGGGCCTGGCCGAGCTCTTCCCCGTCTCTGAGGCCGATTCCTTCCGCTCGGCGGATCCGGCGGGGACGTTGGCCACCATGGCACCGGTGCCATGGCTGGGCAGATGGGAGACGGGGGGATGTCATCCTCCAAAGGCAGAACCTCAACAATAGGGGTTCAACATGGTTCAACCCCAACCACGGGGCTTGATGGCCGGCGAGAAGGCCTCAATTGTTTGGGTCACAAAAAGTATTTTGCCTGGAAGCAGCTGGACCGTCCTGGACCTGGATGTTCTGGGTTGAAATCTAGGAGTTTCGAGACTGTATATGAATGTGACTAGCCTGTTGCTTCCTCAAGCAGTTGGACAAACCTCGGTCGAGGTTGGTTTAGTTTGCCCGGTGCCTGATTTGAGCAGTGGATCATGTGCACAACCCACACTACAAATTGCCGTTGCACCTGATACGTCTTGGTACGCTCCGAGGAAGTGGTGCGTGGTAGCTTCAATGCGAAATGCGACGTTTGGTCCTTGGGCTGCTGTTTGTACGCGCTGCTCTGCCATCGGCCTCTGCGCCTAGAAGACCATCTCAAGGGAGAAGGCTCTTTGCTGTGGAGGATGTTGGTTTGTTCTGCGGACTGTTTGTAGATGGAAAAGGCGAATCTGTCTATGGTTGCATAATTTTGCATATGCTTTACTCATTGTGGATTTGGCAAGTGAGTGCTACTGTTCCATCTGTTGTACTGGACCGAGCTTGAATGGCAAAGGGGGTAAGTTTGACCGCAGGCGGAACTCAGACCGTGGAGCTGTATGACTACTTCTACCCCTTTACTCCGCCCCCAGACGAGTCACGTCAGGAGCTCCGTGAAATGATGTGAAATGTTGGTTTGGAGATGGTTGGAGTGGAGTGTTGCAGTGTTGCTCAGTTCCATGGAAGGAGCTGAAAGCATACTTGGTACGGCAGAAGGAAGGCCCGAACTTAAAGAGGCCTGAAATCATGGTGCAGCTGCCAGCAATTGGCAGAACATTTGTCGAGCTCTGATAGCTCAGACCTTCAAGAGTGTGGGCATGTGCCACAAATGTCAAATGCATTGGCCTTGGAATTTGTCGGAAGTGGTGGTACCATGTGGTACCAAGATCATGCCATCTACTGAATCTACTGGTCATTCTGATGAAACAAATTGGGACGAGAAAACTGCAAATGTTCTCTTGCAAGTTGATGGAGCCCCTGCAGCCCCGCACCGCATCATTCCTGTGTTGACCAGGTTGGAATGCTCGGACGAAGCCAAGGCCTGGAGTTTGGTTGGGAGGTTGGTGATGCAGACGACAGGTCAGGGGTGAAATGGATTTACCAAGGGAAAGGTGATTGGCCTGTGGCCATTGAGAGAATGTTTCGTTTGGGAGCAGCTATTGACTTTAAAACCTGCATACTACGTAGAGTGTAGAGAGTTCAGAGATGCCGCCCCTTCCTCCCCGCATCTCCCCGTCCAACATTGCCCTGCAATAGGACCTCATTGGAAAGTTGCTAACCTTTGACAAGGACCAAGCGCTGCGACCTGCACGGGCAGCAGCCATATTATTTCAGACAATTTCTTGGTTTCAGCTGACAAATCCAGCAAGCCTCAAGCAAATCACAGGTAGTGCCACGTTTTGTGCCTCAATAATGTTTGAACAGATCTATGCACTCAGATGCAACTTGTCCTGACGAGCCACCAAACTGACTAAACCGACCTCCGAAGATGTCAGGAGCAGCGGCCTTCCATGCGACAAGCGCTCAGCTCGAAGCTCAGGGCTAGGGGGCTGGATTTCCAACCCTTCATACAGATGAGCCCTTTCCACTTGCAGGTATAAGTGCGATTAAAACCAAGTATCTGCCGCTGGCATAAAGTTGGAATCAAGTGGAATTATATGTCCCGTCTGGAGATTTCAAACATCACTGGAAGAAGGTCGTTGGTAGTGATTGTCTTAGTGGCTGGGTGATGTTCAAATGGAGACTCTGCAACCCCTGGTTTAGTTTGGATGAATGGGATCTCCGGCTCAAGCCCTGAGATTTTTGGTCGGGAGTTTTGTGGCGTAGACATGTCCCCATGAATATGTGCTGATGCCACCAGCTGAACATTCATCTGTGGCCACCTCTGTCCTTTAGCCAACGTTTTTTTTGCCTGCACGAACATGCGCAGAGACACCAAGTGCATGAACATACGCAGGAATTGCAAAGTTCTACACATAGACGAGCGGATTAGCCAAATGACGTTGCAACTCCAAAATGCAAGAACCCCCTTGGCCATTAAATGGTATCTTCTATCATCTGTTTGCACCAGCGCTTTGCCTGGCCATGAGTGAGGAGCCTGGCCGAGCACTTTTTGAGTACAGCCGCAAAGGCGTCTTGGAGGAGGTCCAGTCAGAGCTGGCCAATGGTGAGTCTCCCAACACCTACCTGGCATATGATGGCAGTACTCCCCTGATGGTCGCAGCACGAGGTGGCCATGCCGCTGTGGTTCGCGCCTTGTTGGATGCCAGGGCCGACCTGACTGCGAGGTCGGAGGATGGAAGTGATGCCTTGTTGCACGCTGCGAGTGGGGGAAATGTGGGGGTAATCCAGGCCCTTTTGGAAGCAAAAGCTGATGTCGAAAGCGTTAATGAAGATGAGGTGTCGCCACTACTTCTTGCTGCTCACTATGGCCATGCCGTTGCTGCAAAGGTCTTGCTCGAAGCGGGGGCAAACTCTCAGTACAGGGTCCCAGGGTGGGAGGGCGTGGATTGCCAGAAGCTGCTGAACAGCCTGACGACGACGACCCCCTCCCGACCCAAGGCTAGTGAGCACTTTGGTTACGAATCATGGCTGCATTATGCCACTGTTTTATCATCATCATAGTGATGTGCCACCAGGTCTAAGGCATGTTTTCCTGAAGTGGCAATCCAAGGAATGTTTGGACAACGATCTTGCAGAGGCTGCCTTGAGGGATTACCACCCTGAGCCAAGTGAGAGTAATTGGCCCAGCTGGGCCAGTTGTGCACGGCGACGCCAGAAGCAATCCTGCTCCATCAGCTGACTGAAAAAGCAGCTTCAGCAGATTAAAAGCATGTGGGTCGAGGATGGTCGTGGCTCAAGATGGTGCCAGAGGATGTTTGGTGGGTTCGGGAAAGGGGCAACATTGATGGCATGCTTTTGTTGGGTCAGGAGTTGTGTCTCCCCAAGATAGACGTTATATACAAATATATATTAAATTATATGCATATAAAATTCAATATCATATCATGAATTATATAGGTGATCCTCAACTAGAAATGCACTTCCTCATGATTTTCCATTGATTTTTCCTAATGGCTTCCCAAAAAACCGAGCCACCAGTTGCTGATCGCCCGAGGTCATTGCTGGCTACACAGTTCCAAGGCTTCAGGACAGATCTCCACCGAACAGCTGGAGAGCCTCCTCCAGTTCCACCGGATCAATCCCTTAGCTCAGGCATGGGAGGATGGGAGGATGGGATGATGGGATGATTGGGTGGGATGGAAGATATTGTCCAAAAGATGGTGAGATGATTTTAACATATTTTAACTATATAATTTATATTATTATTGTTATTATAATTATTATTTATGATTTGGGCATGCTTTGGGCCATTTTGGGCCCCTTTGGTTTTGCTGGTTACTTTGATTTGGAGTGTGGGGCATTCAAAAAGCCACAGTTTGCACTCTGGGAAGTGATTCACTTCGCCGCCAGGCAGTTCTATTGGACCTCTCTTCTCAGCTGCCATTGAAACAACTCAGATCCTTTGCCGCAGAATTCTAGGCCTATTGGTCAGCTCTGAGATTTCTGAGATGTGTCCAGCATTAAACACGATACATACACAATACAGCAAGTACCAATGACAGTAATCATGATAACAATGACGCCACTAATGCTACCAATAACAATAATAACAACACTAGTAATGAGAACACATGACGATAATGATAAAGATGTATATATATATAATATATAATGATAACGATAAAGACAATGATAATGATAAAGATAATGATACCAATAAATACAATGATACTGGTTGATGATGTTGTTGATGATGATGATGATGATCACCATCACCACCACCACCACCACCACCACCACCACCATCATCATCATCATCATCACCATCATCACCACTGCTATTTACATGACCATCTAAGGAGAGATGATCAGCCTCTTCGAGTCCGTAGACAAGGATGGCAATGGCATGTTAGACGAGGCCCATGAGGGTTGGTGTCAGACAGCGACGCCTGCGAATTTCATGGTTTCTCTCTTCAACTTTGCCTTGTTTCTCTCTTCATTGTTCTCCAATGATTTTTGGGTTCTCCATTCCTTTCAGAAATTCTTCCACAGACTCCACAGACTCCGTGGAGATGCGTTTTCCATCGACAGGCGGAGCTGTCGGAGGCCTTGAAGTTGGCTGGCCTTGGAGCTGAGATGGCGCTGGAGGCAGCCAAGCGCCTGGCCAAAGGTGCAGGCCGAAGTTCCCGTGGGAGCCGTGGAACGAAAGCGTTGGCTGAAGCGGAAGCTATTTGTGAAATATGGATAACAATGGATAATACATGTGAAAAAATATGACATATAACATAATATAACACGAATAATGAATGGGAATTATAGCCTTATACTTAATTCAGATGTTTTTTGTTTGGTTTGCCTGCTGTTAACTGAGTGGAGTTATGACCAGCTGGTTAATCAGTTAATCGAAGATAAGCTATATTATATGAGTGCTGATCCCAAAAGGGTTGAAGGTCCAGAAAACGATCCAACTTTGTGGGTCCGGCGCCCAAAGCTTGACACAATCCCAAATGATCAAGTTGTAACTGTAACGTGGCAAGCCGAAAGCCAGAACCATCTGTTTTTACTGTACCGGTTTCTAATACCTCCCAATTGGGGGATGGTTTATGGACAAGAACTTATCACATGGATAATCAGATAATGAGTGCTACCCTGGGAGCGAAGTCTCTGGCATTCAGCTGATGCCACTGAGTTGGGATCTACAGCTTCATCAGTGTCATGTCATCGACCATGGTAGGGACCCAGGACCATGATGGACCATAGGCCCATAGGCAAGTTTCACAATTTTTCCCCAATAGTCTAATAGTGTAAGCTAATGGGGTCTTCAGCCCAAAATAGCTCCGGTGTGCACTGGTGCAGGCGCCGGGTCAGGTTCAACGAGGTTCCGGAGAAGGTTCCGGAGAAGGTTCCGGAGAAGGTTCCGGAGAAGGTTCCGGAGAAGGTTCCAGGAAGCCTTGGTGTAAAGCCAAGTTAGGTTCAACAGGGTTCCGGAGAAGGTTCCAGAGTCTCCAGAGAAGGTCCCGGAGAAGGTTCCGAAGAAGGTCTGGGAGGCTTTGGTGCAGAGCCAGGTTCAACAGGGTTCCTTCCAGAGAAGGTTCCGGAGAAGGTTCCGGGAGGCTTTGGTGCAGAGCCAGGTCAGGTTCAACAAGGTTCCGGAGAAGGTTCTGGAGAAGGTCTGGGAGGCTTTGGTACAGAACCATATTAGGTTCAACAGGATTTGCGGCCATTTAATTCACGGGAACCCAGCTGAGGTGTTTCCAGCGCTTGGCTTCGCAGCACGCTTCAGAAGAATTTGTAACAATAAAACGTTGCGGCTGTTGTTGGGGATACCACCGAAGCTGATTTCTATCTTGAATACCAGGTATTTACTGTGTATTTACCAGGTATTCACCAGGTATAGGTCCTCTGATCCTCTCATGTTCGCTTCTTTCGCTTCTTTCGCCAGGCGGAGTGGTGGAATTCTCTCGCTTCGTGGCTGCCTTGGCCCCTGCCTCTGCCTTGGTGGATGTTGAGATGCTGCGCAGCAGCTTCAACCGGCTGGACGTGGGGGAGCCCATGCTGGAGGGGAGGATCCCCAGTCGTCGCCATAGGTTTCCATACTAAAATGGTCGTTCATGACTTGGATGATTGGTACCCCAATTTAAGGAAACTGCCATATAGTAATGGAGGGCCATTTATTTAGGGATTTTTTTTTTTAGTTTAGGGATTTTTTTTTGGATTTCTTCCTGCTTACTCTATTGCCTCCTGCAGTGCTTCTCTGCTTCTTTGCTTCTATTCCTTTTTTTGTTTTTTTTGCTTTTCTTTGCTTTTTTGCTTTTTTGCTTCCCTTGCTTTTCTTTGCTTTTTTGCTTTTTTGCTTTTTTGCTTTTCTCGCTTTTCTGCTTTTCTTTGCTTTTTTGCTTTTCTTGCTTTTCTTTGCTTTTTTGCTTTTTTGCTTTCCTTGCTTTTCTTTGCTTTTTTGCTTTTCTCGCTTTTCTGCGTTTCTTTGCTTTTTTGCTTTTCTTGCTTTTCTTTGCTTTTTTGCTTTTTTGCTTTTCTTTGCTTTTTTGCTTTTCCATGAGGTGTGGAGCAACATCTTCTATCCATCTATATCCATCTATATCCATCTATATCCATCTATATCTATCTATATCTATCTATATCTATCGTATCTATATCTATCTATGTCTATCTATATCTGTATCTATATCTACATCTATGGCTGTATCTATATATCTATATACCTATATATATATCATATATCTATATAATTATCTATATATCTATATATCTATATATATATCTCTATATATATATATCTCTATATATATATATATCTATATATATATATCTATATATCTATATATATATATCTCTATATATCTCTATATATATCTATATATTTCTATATATCTCTATATATATCTATATCTAGACATCTATATACATATATATCTATCTATCTATATCTATCTATATCTATCTATCTATCTATCTAATTATCTATCTATCTATCTATCTATCTATCTATCTATCTATCTATACATATCTATCTATATATCTATATATCTATATCTATCTATCTATCTATCTATACATATCTATCTATATATCTATATATCTATATCTCTCTCTATATATATACTATATATCTATATATCTATATATATATATATCTATATATCTATATCTCTCTCTCTCTATATATATTTATATACCACCATATATCTATATATCTGTATATATCTATCTATATTTCTATATGTATATATACATATATTTTTATATCTATATATCTTTAAATATATATATATATATCTATTTATCTATATATCTATATCTATATATATATCTATATATATATATCTACCTAAAAGGTTTGCATTATCATGCGGATGATATTCAAACCCCAAGCCAACCCTGAACCAAACCTTATATAAATAGATCTTAAACCAACTCGATGATAACATCAAATGAAACTATTGTGCATCGTTGTGCCTTAACCTACATTCCACATGTTTCCAAGGTGCATGTCGTGTAGTATATACACCTTGAGTATCACATTCAACCTAGCACCTTGCATGTGAAAATAGGTGTTTCCAATCTGCTTTGGGGGGGAGGCGCTGCGCCCTCCCCCCAATCCCCCCCAATCCCCCCCTCCCGTTTTTTTTTATTTAAATTCAAGCTTGCACACATTTCAATACACTACTTTGGTTAGAATATATATATATATACATTGTATATATATATATATTGTATATATATATATTGTATATATATATATATATATGTATATATATATATATGTATATATATATATTGTATATATATATATATTTATATATTGTATATATATATATTGTATATATATATAACAACACTAACAACACTAACAACACTAACACTAGCAACACTAACAACACTAACAACACTAACGGTAACAACAACAACAACACCAACAACAACAACAACCAACACCAACAACAGTAACAGTAACAACAAACAACTGTTGGAATGTCAGCCTTCAGCTCCAAAATCCTGCAAGTACTGTGAGGAATGTAGCTGTAAAATGTTGCACATACGGTGGAAATGCAGATTCCAGCTCAAAAATGCTGCAAAGAGCATGGAAAATGGACAGAACATGCTGCAAACTGTTGCAAATACCGTGGAAAATACAATGGAAAATGAGAGGTTCGAACTCAAAACCGTTGCACATACCGTGGAAATGGCAGTTTCCAGCTCCAAAATGCTGCAAATAGCATGGAAAATGGTGAGAACCGGAAATCCAAAAAAAATTCCCCAAACTAAAAAAAAAATAATCCCCAAACAATTTCCTACCCTATAGTAATTACATGTAATTACTGTAGGAGTTAATTAGTAATTAGTATCAATATCTATGAACGTAGAACTTAGATGTATATTCAGAGACTTGGGGACAGTTTTGAATTGGGAGACGTTTTGAATGTTGTGGCTACTGTACATTTCGCGTCAATTTGATTGTGTGGGACTTGGTCAGTTGAACTTGCCATCTCACGAGCCGTTGGATTGTCCTCAGCCCCTCTTCCCTGGCATAGCTTTCTGAAAGAAGTCCTGAATTTATTGTCAGGTTACATCTTGAACTCTTGGGCCTGTTGAGTGTATGTTCAGTCCCAGAAGAATCAGGTGCCCCTCAGCTGAAGGGACATGACATTTGCATACATTTGCCTCATCTAGGCCAATGGGGATGGATATGTGAGCCGCAGCATCTTGGCATTTTTAAGGAGGGAGCAGCTGGGCTTGGGCAGAATTGGGCAAATGGGATTCTCTCCTAAGGCGAGCTTCAACGGCTCCTGGAACGCGGGGCCAAACCCATCTCAGTGCCGGAGGAAGAGGTGAGCCTTTTTTGTTGCTGGGGGGATTGGCAGCAACACCGAAGGCCAGGAAGGCCAGGAATTGATGGCAGATTTGAACTATGTTTCTTCAATTTTGTTTAAACGTTTGGTACATCAGTCCCTTTGGGACTCATGCCCAACAAAATGCATTACATTCCAGAGTATTGCTAGGTAAATCCATGTAAATCCCCAGCATTTACATGCATTTACCACAGGAGCTAAATTATAGGCTCTCCCTTGGGCCTTGTCTCTGAACCAGGTGCCGCCAGAGAAAAAAGCACACGCGGCCGAAAAGGCGAGACAGGCCTTTGATGGTATCAGTGAGAGGCTCAGGCGGCTGATTTTTGGCACTTGATCTGTGGAGAGGCGAGATTCGGTGTGAGGTTCAAGCCGCGCACCCTTTAGGTTTTCCATGTTTTCCCTTAACCAGTTGATCAAAATGGTGAAAAACCTGAGGTGGTGAGGGACGGCTGCGGATCTCCTTTGCATCCTTCCAGCGTCACTTGGGGGCCTTTGTTGCCTAGTGTGGTCCGGGGCCCCGGCCTGTAACGAGGTTGAGGTATATATAATCAAACCGTGCTTCTACCATTTCCATGGATTTTCATCAATTTTCCTGACTCTCATCGATTTTCATTCATTTTCCACATCCAAGTTGTGCAATCCCAGGGGTAGACGAACGTTTCCACAGCAATCAAGATTTGTATAAAACTGGCAGTCTTGCTGAGACTCTCAGTCACCAATCGTCCCAGCTCGTTTTGAGGATGCTGCGCTGTGACTGTAGCGGCCTAGAGCCTCGAAAGAGGCATCAGAAGATGTCACTGAATTTGACCTCCTTGAGGAATTCGGCCCACCAGTGGTTCAGACGCGTGAGCACCAACATGACTTGTCATCAAACTCCACAGGGTGTTGCGAATCTTTCCATGCTGGTGTCCATGCTGTGCAGAACCATGCGTTTCCAAAGGTCTTCTCCTAAGCTCGACGTTCCAAACGCCCGTCTGATTTCACAATCATCTGAAAAGCAAGTATTGACAGTTGATTTGAAACCCAAAGGATCCCAAAGGGATTGAAGTTCCAGCCTTTGAACTTTAAACCATTAAAAACATTTCTTGACATTGAATTGTTGTTTCATCTTTTTCTGGCTGGTTTGACGCTCCTGAGAAGATCTTGCTGTGGAGCGCCGCGGCTACGTGCGACGTCCCCCAAGGGGAGCTTCGTTGCGCGGTGACGTGTCCCTCTCCACGTGTCGACATGTCCAGGGAACTGACTCGCCCTGCTTTAGCTCCAAGAACTCTGTGGCGCAGTTCCGCTGGATTTTATGGATTCTTCCCAGATGGAGGTTCTCCACCAGAGGGCCTGAACAAATTGAAAACGAAAACATATTTCTGAAACTTGTAGATATTTCGGATACTTCTAGTGACTCTAGTGGAACACATCTTCTGGCCCTTTGTGTGGAGAAATGCATTATGTCTCCGGGAGGTGTATTTCTTACTGCACCTGGCGGACTTGTTTTGAAGGGCTGTGCTGGAGGAGTTTCCGATAGGGGTGGTCTAAGCACGCTTCTGCTCAACGTTGGCTGAGGAAGAAGTGGCCTAGTGATGCCTAGTGCAAAAAACGGAGATTTTGCACAAAAGAAAGGCTTCTATCTCCTATGTATTTCTATGTTTGTTGCACATGGATGGTGGTGTCAGGTTGCGTAGTGTAGTTTGCCGTAGTGCTGTGTGGGGTAAACTAAATGTGTGCAGCAACAGGTGGCTTGATGTGGCTTGTAGGTATGTACATTTAGAATCATTTAGATCCTTTGTTCCAAATCAGGATCTCGTTGGGTGCAGCAACGTGTTTTGATCACATTTTCTGGGATCTTCTAGCCCTCCCTGCTCGCAGAGTTGTGCCATCACGAGCGAAGTAAGTGTGTGATTGGCTTACTGCAGTCTCAGAGTGTGGTGTCCAGCAACTGTCATCTTCAAGATCCTTTCTAAAGTGGCTAGCCACCTGGTTACAAGACATTCCAAAACCCCGTAGATTGAGACTAAAGAATTTCTTTTATGATATGGATCCAAGGGTTCGCAGTCTCCTCAGCCAGATTCCGGGTGAGCCCAGCACAGCTCGCGGTGCCAGCTCCACCCCAAGGCTTGTTGGGGAAAGCCCCGATGTTTCATGACATTCAAGACGCATCCGACTCATCCATGTGAGCCAATGTGAGCCACTTCAACGTGAACTGTGGTATTCAGTTGGGGCTACGGCAGAACGTGGCAACAGTGAGCACGGGCATTCGCACGGGCACGACATGATGTCGTGCTTTGGTCGGCGAGACTGCCGACCTGTCAGCCAGTTGGGGGCACCTGTCCAACAACTTGGTTGACCCCAGGGAGTTGCAGCCGAGGTCAGATGCGCCGGCAGTTTGGCATAGGCGACGGGGTGCTTTCGTTGGTCAACATGGGGCATGGGTCAGCAAGTTGTGGCTGCATCTTTCCTGGGGCTCAAGGGTGTTTCTGAAAATTGCCAGCGCATGCTGGGTTGTTTGTTTTGATAACCGGCCGAGGCTTGGGATGAGTGTTATGTCATGTAAGTTATGGTCTTGTCCGAAACGCCCATTTGATCCTCTGCACAGGCGAAAAGCTGCCATGTTTTTTAGCCTGCAGTGGTTGGGTGCGCAGCAGTCCCACCCATCCCTGACGGGATTTTCTGCAGAGTCATTAAGACGTCAAGACGTCTTTCCGCGCCATCTGAAAGAGAAAAGCCACGGGAGGGGGTTTCATTTCCGACGATGGTGGCCTGTTGCTGGCTCTTCAGCAAGGTGGAGGGTCCGCTTGAGGATCATCCCACTTCTCCACAGAACTGTTTTGACCTACTGTAACTTATGACACACGCAATATATATATAGATATATACATTTATTTATTTATTTATTTATTTATTCATTCATTTATTTATTTATTTATTTATTTCACACACACATAATAGATACGATATAGATAGATACATAAATAAATAGATTAAATAAATAAACAATTAAATGTATGTGCACTCCGGGTAAAACACCATGTATCATAGAATGTTATCACAGCTGTGCGGCTCTAGCAAAAAGAGTTGGGCCGCAGTGCTTAACGGCGTTTATTCTTTAGGTTTATCAGTCTATTTGGGTTTCCCCGTAACCCTTGCTGAAACCTGAAAATACAGGTTATCAGCCGTAGTCTCTAAAGCCATGGAGAGACCACCCGGTGACATTTCTGGTAATGGTGGTGCGATGGTCCCGGCAACAGGGTCGATGCAACCTGCAAATACTGGAGCTCCAGCGTCCAATGCGGCTGGAGTAAACCCCACGCCCATGACTGTCGATGAAGGGTTTTTCTACCAACCAGTCCAGGCGTATTTCCAGTTTGTGCAGAACAATCTTACCTACATAAATGAGGGTAACATTGACGCATTCAGACGTGAAGCTGAGGAAAGACACACGCAGATCATGGAACAAAAGGTCCAACAACTGTACTAGGAATTCGAGCAAGTATGCCTTAGTGAACTCGCGCAACAGCGTGCACAAGCGGAAAACCGACATGAACAAATGGCATCAGAGCTCGCCGGGTTTGCCATGTCTCGCACAGCAGCGGAACAAGAGGCCATGAAACTGAGGAAGGAACTTAGCGATGCAAATGCAAAGCCCAAGAATGCTGCAAATGCAGTTGCGTTGGAAGCTGAGCAAAGAGCAAACCAAAAGGTTTCACACTTAGTTGTCCAGTATGAAAATAGGTATTCCAAACTCAGGACGGACCTTGAAGCTGATTGCAAACGGATCGTAGGTGAAACGATTGACTATGCAAGACAGGGTATGGAGGAGTTCAAGAATGAGGAGCATTCTGTAATCCAGGAGATGAGAGATGAGTGTGACAGGCAGGAAATGAAAGCTGCAGAGCTCAACTTTCAACTTCAAGACAGGGTAGATGAACTGGTGGAGAAACTCAACAAGTATAGTGCCCCCAAACTCAGGATTGAGGAGCTCGACCAAGGTCCAGGTGACGTCCAGTTTGGGATGTTTGCAACACCAAAGTCAGCAAGCGCGAAGGCTGGAGCAACACCCAAGCCTAACACGGCAATGACGGACTTAGCGGCCGATGCTAGGGAGAAATTGCACAGCTTGTTCTCCACTACCCCAGCAGGATCAGCAGCACCTCCAAAGCTCCCAAACTTACACGTGCAGAGACAGCATGGTGACAATGCGAATCAAGAACCAAGTGTGCATAGCCCAACCATAGCAGCTAGTGAACCTGAGAAGCTCAAAGGCACCGATGTAGTTGGTGGCCTTTCCGGACAACAGCTTTTAGATTTCATCACTGGACTGACCTCAAAGGATTCAGACGGTGAAAAGCCCCGAACCAAAGAGGCTGAGACTATTAAGCTAAATGACATGCCCGCTCCTGAGGCTTATCGCCACTGCTGCAACCACGTTCGGGACGAGGTCAAGTCATGTTCGGACAAACCCGACGAGGCTTGGATCTGGCTCAGTAAAGTCTTTGACAACAAGACCCCTCGGGAGAAGCTGGAGGAGAAGCTGCAGGATCCGGGCAAGTTCATCACACTTGACACCAAATTGTCGGCAGCGTTAACTCGCTCAGCCAAAGGTGACTTAGCAACAAAGATTCACAACTTCAAAGATGAAAAGTCCAAGAAAGGAATTCAGGCCAGAGGAAGGAGAGTCCTCTTGATGTTTGACTTGAGGATTACTTCAGGACGTCTTGAGGAAGCCGGCAGTCTACACAGGAGTTGTTAGGACGGGAGAGTCAGTGGAGGACCTTAGAAGGTTTCTTAACCGATTGGACGCCACAATTGCTGGAATGGAGGCTCCTCCCGATGATCTGTGCTGTTGCACAAGATATAAACCCTATGTATAGCTTATAGAGTAGGTATCAGCCTTAGTACTGTGTTGCATTGGCTCCAGTAAAATAGCGTGTAGCTGATTTGCGGTTGATTGTGGTTTGTAACTTGTTTCTACAGGTTATCAGCCGTATCGCTAAAGGTGATTGGTTGTTTAACCTTTGTCTTACTTTTCACTCGCTCTCTTCTTTGTACCTGCGATGGCAACTCCCCCTGCGTTACCTGCCCCGGGCGGGAACGCCACGGCTGCCATTGCTGACGCAGGTGCAACGCGGCCGGAGGAGATGGTGATCCATTCTGGAGCAGCAACGACAGAAAGTGACATGAGTTACTAAAGTTACTTGGAAGGTGACTTTGGCCCAGTGACCAGGCACGATCCTTACAGGAATGACCCACGCCGAACTTTGCCAGGTGTTGGGGAATCCAGTGTGGAGTTCAGCCAACTGAACACGATCAACTTCAATAATGTTGACCAGCGTACCGCCAATTTGGCAGTGGTACAACAGGGTATGGACCCAGCACTGGCTGGTCAGATGATGGCTGTCCACCAGCAGGCCATTCAATCTGAAGCAAATGCGCTTCACACTGAGGTCCTGGAACGTCAAAGAGAGGCGCTTGTGAGTGAGGCTCGAGATCATCTCACACGCATCGAAATGACAGCAGCCGAAGAAATTTCTCAAATAATTTTTTGTTGAACGAACAAGCTGCACATGCGATGAGTGAGCAGAAATCTGCTCAGTTGCACGTCCAGTCGCAGGATCATCGCATCAAGGAATTGAGTGCCGACCTTTGTCAAATCGTGAACACTGCAGGACCGATGTCTGCCTCTGCGGACAAGTCCAATGCTGATTTGAATGCAGCGCGGTCTGAACTTGCAGAATATCGGAGCCAACTTGATGCAATGAACCAGCATTCGCTGGAGATGAAGAAAGCGGCAGATTCTCAACGCCGAGATTTTGAGAGGGAGATTGGGGAGCTTCGACAAGAGCAGAAGGACTTGATTAGAAGCTTGAAATCTCAACCTCTGGAGGGAACTCCTGGACTGATGCTTCAATTCGGCCCAGGTAAAGCCCCTCCGGCACCCCTCTCAACCTTCAAGGCCACTCATTGAGGACTTGGAGGCCCAAGAAAAGAAGCCTCATCACTCATCTGATGCAGATGATGAGCACTGCATGGCAGAACCTCCCAAGCCACCCGGCTT